CTGAAGGTGGGGGATCTTGAAATGGCTCCTACAAAGCTGGGCCAGTTTTACTCCTCCCAAATGGGTGGTACAATGCAGACGACTGATTAAAGTTTTCCCGAGGGCTCGGGGCATGAAGATTCTGGAATCAGGAAGAATCCACCAACCTTCCTGATTTTTACTGGCCTGAAGATCCAAAGCTTGTTTTTCTTCCTCTGGGGAGTATTCTGGGTGATCTGGTAAGTCAGGTTGCAGAAAGAACACAGTGGGCAGCAGGGTCAAAGGCGTGACTGGGAACCGAGCTGCCTCTCCAGCTGCAGAGTCTGTTCTTTGGTTACCATGGGCAACGGCCGAGTCTTCTCTTTGATATCCCTTGCAGTGAATTACAGCCACCTGCTGAAGAAGCCAAACAGCTTCAAGCAGGGTCAAAATTTCTTCTTTGTTTTTAACAGTCTTTCCTATTGAGGTGAGTAGCCCTCACTCTTGATAGATGGCTCCGTGTACATGTACAGTAGCAGAAGCATACCTGCTGTCAGTGCAGATGTTAATATGTTTATCCTTACCCCATCGGAGAGCCTGAGTGAGGGCGACCAATTCAGCCTTCTGTGCCAAGGTACCTGCCAGCAGTGACTGGGCCCACAGTACATCTGTCTCCGTAGTAACGACTGCACTAGCCTTTCGTACTCCCTGTTCAAGGAAGCTGCTACTCTCTGTAGACACAGTGGCGTCCACCTCCTTTAGAGGCACATCTTGGAGATCAGGTCGGCCAGTTTCTGTAGTCTCTAACAGTTCTTCGCAGTAAAGGACCGGTGTGGTAAGGTCTGGATCAGGGAGCAAGGTAGCTGGATTTAAACACCTTGTGGGAGAGAAAGTTAAACGAGGCTGATCTAACAGTAAACTCTGATATTGTAGGATGCGAGCGCTCAACATCCATTTGCCAGAAGCACTTCATAGCAAAGTCTCTATGGCATGAGGAGCTGTAAGGGTTAAATTCTGGCCCAGTCAGTTTATCAGCCTCCTGGACCAGGCTTGCTGTTGCCACTACGGCTCACAGACAACTTGGCCACCCAGAGGCCACAGGGTTCAGTCTCTTAGACAAATAGGCCACCGGACGTCGCCATGGTCCCAAAGTCTGAGTAACTACCCCTTTAGCAAATCCCTCGCTCTCATGCACAAAAAGATGAAATGGTTTTGAGATATTTGGGAGGGCAAGAGCAGGGGCCTCAGTTAATGCCTTCTTTAGATTGTGAAAAGCCTGCTCTTCTTTGTCAGTCCAAACTAGTGGGCCATTTCCTCCGGTAGCAGAGTACAGGGGCTTGGCGATTTCTGCGAACGCCAATATCCGTAAACGACAGTATCCCATGGCACCCAGGAATTCACGTACCTGTCTCTTGGTGGTGGGAGTAGGGATCTGCAGGATGGTTTCCTTCTGAGCACTAGTGAGTGCCCCTTTTCATTTGTTTATCTCGTACCCTAAGTAGGAAACTCTGGGAAGACAAAGCTGGGCCCTCTTGGCTGAGACCTGACACCCAAGTTCCTGAAGGAGGTAAAGTAGGTCCCTAGTATGTTGCAGGCAGCTGTCAGTAGTTTTGAGAGGCAGTAACAGGTCGTCCATGTACTGGAGAAGAGTGCAGTTAGGGTGACTGGCTCAGAATGGTATAAGATCTTGTTGGAGGACTTCCCCAACAAGGGTGGGGGAATTTTTAAAACCCTGGGGTAACCGAGTCCAGGTTAATTGGGTGGTGTCTCCTGAGCCAGGATCTGTCCATTCAAAAGCAAAGATAGGTTGGCTTTTGGGGGCCAGAAGAATAGCAAATAAAGCATCCTTTAAGTCACGGACAGTGTATACTATATGTTCTGGCAGAAGCAGGCTGAGTAGCAGAAGCAGGCTGAGTAAAGTATAAGGGTTAGGGACAGTTAGATGGACGGTGACTGTCTGCTTGTTAACTTCCCGCAAGTCCTGTACCGGCTGGTAATCGTTTGTCCCAGGTTTCCGGACTGGCAAAAATGGAGTATTCCAGGCAGACTGACACAGTGTGAGTATACCAGCTGGTAATAGTCGATGAATATGGGGATTGATTCCCTCTCTAGTCTGCTGACTCATAGGATATTGTTTTACCTGAACTGGCAGGGTGGTGGCCAGCAGTTCTACAACTACCGGCAGATGGTACTTTGCCAGTCGTGGGCAGTTTGACTCGGCCCAGACTCGAGGAAACGGAGTCTGTAAATCCAGTAGGAGAGGATTAGTTTTATTCTCCAGTGGTTGTGAGGATGAAACTAAGAGATACTTCTCCAACGGAGGGGTAGTTAGCAGGAGCTGGGCGGTAGCGGGTGCTGGGTCCCCTAACGGTGAGGTGAGCTTGTTGGGCCGAGAAGGAGATGGATGCCTGCAACTTATGAAGCAGGTCTCATCCAAGGAGGGGGAAGGGGCACTCTTGGACCACGAGAAACGAGTGGGTTACTCTTTCCTGTCCCAAACTCACCTCTCGTGAGTGGGTGACTGGATATTCCTGAATAGTTCCAGTAGCCCCTTGCACAGCCACCTTTTTATTAGAGACACTGCCCAAGGGTGTTTGCAGGACCGAGTGTTCCACCCCTGTGTCAATTAGGAAGCGTACAGCTGGTCCCCCACTGTGGCGGTCACCATGGGCTCCTGGGGACCAACGGAGAGGGAGCCCCAGCCCTGTCAATCGTCAGATTCCTCCGTAGCGGGGAGGATGAGGACCTTTTTCTTTTCTGGTTTTTCTTCTGGTTTTAATGGGCATTCCTTTTTCCAGTGTCCAATCTGTTTGCAATATGTGCATTGGTTTCTTTGTAGGGGAGCCCGCTCACCTTTTTGGCCTTCCTGGCGGGGACCCAGGGTCCCCTGGCCAGTGTTTTGTGATGGGGGTCCTTCCTTCTTGGCTCTCTGGATGGCGGCTACTAAGATTTTTGCCTTTTTGATGCTTTATCAGCAGCTCTTTCAGCTGCCTAAGCTGCCTGTTTTTGCTTTTCAAACTCGATTGTCATAAACTTTCTGGGCTATTTCTAAAAGTTGGCTGATACTCATTCCAGCAAATCTTTCCAGCTTTTGTAATTTTCTTTTAGTATCAGGGGCTGCCAGAGTCACAAATGCCAAATCAATAGCACAGCATTCTAGAAATGCTCCTGGTGACTCATCAAGCCCCTGGACAACTTCAGTTGTCTTGGATAGATTCATGGATTTTCCAGCGGCTCCCTTGATACCTTTGAAGAAATACCAGTGAAAACCATACAAAGCTCTCTTCCCACCCAAGGAGTTTGGACCTCAATCAGGCCAGGTAGAGGGGAAAACCTCAAGGAGGTCCTGGGCTTCCTCCTCTGGGCTACCGGCTGATGTGAGGAAATACTTTCTGGCCTCTCTTCGGATACGGTCCCTCTCTTCAAAGGTGAAAAGGGCTAAAAGGAGTTGCTAACAGTCATCCCAGGTGGGTCAGTGAGTCTGGAGCACAGACTCCATCAGTGAGGTCAAGACCTGGTGCTTTTCAGAGAAGGGGGGATTATGAACCTTCCAATTGTACAGGTCAGAAGCAGAGAAGGGGACATAAACTAAAAATGGAGCAGCGCACTCACTGTCCAGAGGGATTTGGGCATCTCTTAACGGGAGGAGTGGGGCCACCGTCTCCGGCCAAGGCCATGATCAGGTGACTATAGGTGGAGAGGCCCCAGGGGATGTAGTCAAGGAGACAAGGGAAGATTCTCGGGGAGCAGGAGGGTTACAGGGTGGTGGACCTGGATGAGAAAAACTTTCCTTCTTCAGAAGGAGGCAGTACGAGAGGAGCCGAGGGTTTGGGCAAAAGTGCAGTCTGGCTCTAAAGGACCTTGTAGGTGGGATCATGAATGGCACATGAGAGAAGCCATGGAGGAGGGCTCCGGACCAACTCTAGCCATTGATCAATGTAGGGAAACTGGGGTGTCCAGGAGTTTCAGCGACGACCCATCACACAGCCTGGACAGTTGTGGGGTTCAGTGACCCTTCTGGAGGCCACCCGGTTCCAAACTGTGAACAATCTACTTCACAGTGTCCGGAATTTGCCTTTTTAAAGGTGGACTCCATAATCCTCTGAGAAGCCCAGAGAAATACTGTAACATACACTGGAGAGGGCTCCAATTTCTACGGGGCTGGAAAGAAGAGTTTTCCATTATGGAGGCAATTAACAAAATTTCAGCAGAATTATTAAACCCAGCACAGAGATATTCACGGCCTGGGGGCTGTAGTATTGTGTCCGGAATTGGTAGGTTCTTGGTCTCGCGGATTTCAAGAATGAATCCACGGACCATCGCGGTGAGTGTTACAGTTCTTAAAGACAGTGTGTGTCTGGAGTTTGTTCCTTCAGATATTCAGATGTGTCTGGAGTTTCTTCCTTTTGGTGGGTTCGTGGCCTCGCTAACAGGAGTGAAACTGCAGACCTTTGTGGTGAGTGTTACAGCTCTTAAAGGCGGTGTGGACCCAAAGAGTGAGCAGCAGCAAGATTTATTATAAAGAGTGAAAGAACAAGGCTTCCACAGCGTTGAGGGGGACCCCTCAGGTTGCCACTACTGGTTCCAGCAGCCTGCTTTTATTACCTTATCTGACCCCACCCACATCTTGCTGATTGGTCCAGTTTACAGAGAGCTGATTGGTCCATTTTACAGAGAGCTGATTGGTCCGTTTTGACAGAGTGCTGATTGGTGCGTTTACAATCCTTGAGCTAGACACAGAGTGTTAGACAGAAAAGTTCTCCAAGTCCCCACTAGGTTAGCTAGATACACAGTACCAATTGGTGTATTTACAAACCTTGAGCTAGACACGGAGTACTGATCGGTGTATTTACAAACCCTGAGCTAGACACAGAGTGCTGACTGGTGTATTTACGATCCTCTAGCTAGACATAAAAATTCTCCAAGTCCCCACCAGATTAGCTAGATACAGAGTGCTGACTGGTGCACACACAATCCTCTGGCTAGATATAAAAGTTCTCCAAGTCCCCATTGGGCTCCGGAGCCCAGCTGGCTTCACCTAGTGGATCCTGCACCGGGGCTGCAGGCGGAGCTGCCTGCCAGTCCTGAGTTGCGCCTGCCACTCCTCAGCCCTTGGGTGGTTGATGGGACCAAGTGCCACGGAGCAGGGGGCAGAGCCCGACAGGGAAGCTCGGACCGCTCCAGCCGCGTGGGAGACCATGGTGGAGGGGGGCTCGGACATGGTGGGCTCCAGGTCCCGAGCCCTGCCCCGCGGGGAGGCAGCTGAGGCTCCACAAGAATTCGAGCACAGCACTGGCAGGCCGGCACTGCCAGGGGACCTGGTGCACCCTCTGCAGCTGCCGGCCTGGATGCTAAGCCCCTCATTGCCCTGGGCCAGCAGCACCGGATGACCCCGCCAGCCGGCCGCTCCTGTGCGGGGCCCACCAAGCCCGTGCCCGGCCCGCCAGAACTCACTCTGGCCGGTGAGCGCTGCACGAAGCCCCAGTTCCTGCCCGCACTTCTCCCTTCACACCTCCCTGCAAGCAGAGGGAGATGGCTTCCGCCTCAGCCAGCCCAGAGCGGGGTTCCCACGGTGCCCCGGCAGGCTGAAGGGCTCCTCAAGCGCCGCCAGAGTGGCTGAGGCCGAGGCGGCGCTGAGCGCTACGGCTGCTAGCACATTGTCACCTCTCAGTATCAGAAGTATTATAGCTAGAAGAAGCAGGAAAACAGCTGTAGCTAATGCTTCTTGTCACATAAGATCTGCCTCCTCAAGGACCCCCTCACCCCTTAACTTATAGCCCAAATTATCTGTGGTGTCTCCACGACTCAAAGGCAGAAAGTTCAAACTCGGCCCTTTCTTTTAAGGGTTCTAGGAGGGAGAGCAGAGTCAAGTATTGAAGGGCTGGACTTGCAGTGACACAGGAAAACGAGATGTGCGGGGCCGCTCGGATCTTTCCTAAAGTAGGACAGTAGCCACGGAGGGATAGAATAAGAATCCAGACGGATGGAGTAGAGCACTACGGGCGTAGGTTTCTCTGCACAGTGCCTTATCTAAGGGCATGGGAAAAGTTACAGGATGACAGAAAAGGTGAGCAAGGAGGTCTGCAGGGTGGCTATTTTGAATCCACCACTGGTCTAAGGAGAAGATGGTCCAGTCATTGGGGCATGGAGTATGGCGATCTAAACACCAGCAATCTTTATGGTACCAGGAATCCCAAATGGGCGAATGTCTTCCACACCCCTCCCCGTAACAACACCTGATTTGTTTCTGACAGAAAAGGCAGGACTGGGATGGCCAGCCCAAACGACTGATGAGAGATTTGACCTCCTGAGATAGAAAATCTGTACTAAGGACCCTGAAGAAGTCCTTGCCCAGTGTCTATTGTCCTGTTTGGTGTCTGTCTAAATTTTGTATGTCCGGTTGAGCAGGGCTGAACTGTGTTCACACTGGGATATATGGGAATGACAAGGCAGCATGTGACTTCCAAAGTTAAGGTCACTTTGCTGTCTCGGATCACTAAGCCAGTTGTCATGTAGTGAGGAGGCTCAAGTTGTCCTGTGGTGGGTCCCTGTGACAAGGAACTGAGCTCCCCTACTGACAACCAGCAGTGTCTTCCCAACCATTAGAGTGAGTCACCTTAGAAGCACATTCTCCAGCTCCAGTGCATCCTTTAGATAACTGCCACTCTGGTCACCATCTTGTCTACAACCTCATGAGAAACCTCAGCCAGAACCACTCAGCTAAGTTGCCTCTGAATTCCTGAGCCACAGAAACTGGGAGATAATAAATGTTTACTGTTTAAGACTCTAAATTTGGAGTAATTTGCTATTCAGCCATAGAAACTGACACTCATTTCATCATGCCTGACACTGCTGTCTCCGTGGTTTCACGTCCCTGTGGTTAAAGGTCTCTAAGGGCTAATCATTAATTTCAGGATAAAATCCAAATCCCTTAACATAGCATAGGTCTTTTATGAAGTGCCTCCTGCGTGCCTCTCAGTCCCATCCGGCCCACTCTGCCTTTCCTCCTTGCATCACTCCAGCTACTCTGAAACACACTGCACCTTCCTAAATGTGGACAGATAAAATTGCCAGACTTTTCATAGGATGCCCAGTGAAATCTGAATTTCAGATAAACAATGAATAATTTGTGTGGCTATACAATATTTGGGACATACTTATACTAAAAATATTGCATGACACATACTTATTCTTAAAAGTTATTATCTGAAATTCACATTTAATAGGGCATCCTGTACTTTCCGTTGCTAAATCTGGCAATCCTACAGATGTGAGCTGCTCACTTTCAGCTCCTGCTCAGCCCCCAGCTGGATCACTACATGTGCCCCATAGCTCCCTGCCCTACAAGACTTGGCCCAGACATCAGTGCCCCTAGAAAGCCTAAGCTAACTTCTCTGCACCATACACACCTAGGATGGGTCAGATGTGCCTGCTGCAGGTTCCCACCCACCTGTCACACCTCTCTCATGCCACACACTTTGCAAGTATTTGTTTACCTGTCTCCATTACTAGACTCTGAGTTTCTTGAGGTCAGGCACTATCTTATTAACCACAACGTGACTTCAGTGCCAAAAACATAGTATAACCACAGTTTACAATTACTGAAGATTTACTCTAAGCTGGTTGCTGTTCTAAGATGTTCTGCATATATCAACTCATCGAATTTTCATATCAAGCCAAAGGAGGTACTATTAATATCCAACTTTTACTGGGGAGGAATCTGAGACAGAAATAGGTTTTGCGACTTCTCCAGTGTCATTTGAAAATGGCAGGGAAGTTGGGGTTCAAAGCCAGGAGTCTGACTCCAGAGCCCACCCTCTAACAAGCTAGACAAATTGCGTCTTTACAGTGTATGATAAGTGCTTGCCAAATGCATGTAAGGACTATCCAGCTAAGTTTCTCCAAACTAGATAACTGCCTTTAAGCATGGACCTTGCTGCCTGTGCCCCTCCCAGCTCTCTCTCCAGTCGCCACTACCCAGCACAATGCATAGGTGCCTTCTTCAAAAGCAAATACCTTCTCTCTTCTTCAAATCCTGACTATAGATCCAGGGTAGCACCATATACCACACCTCCCTAAAAAAGGAATGGTTATAGGCAGGGTGTGGCAGCTCACGCCTGTAATCCCACCACTTTGGGAAGCCGAGGCTGGCGGATCTCCTGAGGTCAGGAGTTTAAGACCAGCCTGGGCAACATGGCAAATCCCCATCTCTACTAAAAATACAAAAAATTAGCTGGGCATGGTGGCACGTGCCTGTAATCCCAGCTACTCAGGACGCTGAGGCAAGGGAATCCCTTGAATCTGGGAGGCGAAGGTTGCAATCAGCCGAGATCGCACCACTGCACTCCAGCCTGGGTGTCAGAGTGAGACCCCATCTCAAAATAAAAAAATAAATAAAAATAAAAAAATAAAAGTGGTTACAGCATGTACCTTAGAAATATAAGCCAAGAGAGCACTGTGGTTAATACTGTGAGTTCTAGAGTAAAATTCCCTCAGCTTAGATCCCAGCTCTACTGCTTATTACCTGTATGGTTTTGGATGAGGCCCTGAGACTTAGATTCTTCATCTGAGAAATGGAGATGCAGCATCTGGAACATAGCATGTATTCAATAAATGTCAGCTGTCACCATTGTCGTTGCCAATCCACTGGCATACGACAGGTTGCCATACCTGTCGTTGTCTACAGGCAGGTATGTATGGGCCTGGCAAAAGAAGTTAAGAGAAGGCTGCAGGCGCTGGGGAGCATGTGGGGAGGCTGTGTGGAGCTGCGTGCTCGGGGGACTGCACACCCACTGAAGTGTGTGAAGGGCGAGCAGTGATGGGTTCTGCATCAGTGGGGCTGGTAGCGTGTGGGGGGCTGTATGTGGACCTGCTGGCAAGGTGGGGACTGCACGTGCGGGCTTGGGGACTGTGCGGGTTTGGGGACTGTGCACACGGAAGGCTGCAGACGCTGGGGAGGGTGTGGGGGGCTGCCCTCACCAAAGGCAGCATGCTCCAGTAAGCGCAGAGGCGGAGGTGCTCTGCTCGCTGCGGTGCACGTGGGGACACGAAGGCACTGCCCGCGCAAATGGTTTCAACCGCATTCTCCCTACCCCACATTTCACAATCGCCATGATGACCCGGAAGTCCGCAATGGCGGCGGGTACAAGTCGTTGAGGCTGAGAGGCGAGTCAGGCCTTTACAGACCTCACCCTACTCAGCTGGGCTGTGCCAGAAATTGACCGGTACAGGGACTATTAAAAATAGTCGGGCAAACGAGGAATAAGCTCAAAAGCGGAGTCTCCTGAGCCGTTTCAATCTTCCTGCCCCAGCCAGTCAAAGTGGTGGCGCGCCGGCCTCCCAAGCCTGGAGCTGAAGAGGGAGGAAGTGGCGGAAGAGTCGGGGCTGCCTCTGCGGCTTTGGACACTAGGCGGAGGGAACCTGCCAGGGGGCGGGTGTAGGTCTGCAATCTGAGAGGCGAAACGGCTTACAGCTGGAGGTGATCGCTAAGACCCTTCTTCTGGGCTGCTTTCAGAAGCACGGAGGCCGGAGTACTGCGCACAGTGGGGAGCACGTGAGGGGACAGGGAGGGACTGCCCTCGCGAATGGCTTCAACTGCACGTCCCCCAGAACCACATTTCACAGTTGCCATGACGACCCAGAAGTCCACAACTGCGGTGGGTACAAGTCCTTGAGGCTACCAGGCGAGTCAGGCCTTTCCAGACCTCACCCAACTAGGCTGGCCTGCACCGGAAATTGACCAAAACAGGGACTATGAGAAAGTAGTCCAGCAATCGAGGAGTAAGCTCAAAAGCGGAGACTCCAGAGCCTTTTCAATCTTCCCGCCCCAGTCAGACGAAGCTGCGGTGCAGAGCATCCCAAGCCCAGGAGCCTGAGATGGAAGAGTGGGGTGGCCTCTGCAACTTTCCACCCTAGGCGGAGGGAACTTGGCAGGGGGTGCGCAGAGGTCCGCAATCTGAGACGGCTAGTTGGAAGTGATCAGCCAAGACCCTTCTTCTGGGCTGCTTCCGGTTGATCCATAATTTCCTGGCGCAGCTCCAGGATAAGGTGCAGGACCTGCAGGCCCATCGTTTCTCCACCAGGACCACTCTCGGCATCTGTGAGGAGAGGGCAGGAGGGCCCTAGGAGGGAGCCCCATGCCGCTTTTCTTGAATCTTGAAGGAGATCAGTTTAACAAGCAAGGGTTTGTGGGTGCCTAGGAGCAAGTAATAGCAAGGTCCGAGCTCTGGAAAAGCGTGGCAAGAATCGCCAAGCCCCATTAGTTCTTGTTTTAAAACATTTTCAGGGTTTTCTAACAGTGGTCACCCCTATGTCACAAAAAAGAAATGTTATCTGAATCAGGGCAGCCAATTATCATAGTTGGTAAAAAGGATTAGCTGGCTCTTGGGTAACAGAGATTGTTTCTCAGCACCTGAAAGCAGAATAAAATGGAGTTTAAAAAAATTAGTTGAGAACATTTATAATGGAAATAGGGTCAAAGTAGATATATATTGCCCAATTGACTTCCATCTTGCTGTGGAGCTTCAGTGCCTACAATTGGGAGATTTCCTTATTTATGCACCTGAAGGGTTTTTTCTTCCCCCATTCCCTTCCCTTCATTCCCTTCATTTTCTGTAGCATAAGAGGGAGCTTAAATGTAGTTGCTGTTGGTATAGAATCAGTTTTGAGCCTAGCCCTAAGTCAGACTGACTGCTGATACAAATTGTCAGATGTCTCTTAATGTCAATTATTGTACTTTTCTCACTGTAAGTTGACTGTTGATGTCAAAGTAGAATGTGTCCCCACACTTGAAGTGTTAACAGTACTTGAGGAATGATGGAGGACCGAGGTCTGGTGCACTGAAGGAACCCTAGGGTTGGGTAAAATAATGCGTGACTATCATGAGTGTTACAGGAGTTCAGAAATGTGAACAAATGCTTTAGGATGGGAAGTGGGAAATGAGATCAGGGAAGACTTTTAGGAAAAGGTGAGATTCAAATTGTGACAAAAGGCTACTATTTGGATATGTGGAGCTGAGATCAACAAGTGTCAGAGGCTGATAGAACAGCATGATCAAAGTCATAGGAGGGAGAAAACATGAAAGCCAAGTAGGCTGAAATGAAAGGCACGAAAAAGAAGTAATAGGAAATAAGTTGAGAAGGTTGATTGGGACCAGCCTTGGAGAGTCTAATTCTAGGTTAGGTGTAAGGCATTTGAACTTCATCCTGTAGGAAGGCGTTAATTCTTTTCTTTAAAAAAATTGTTTTAATGAGATGAAATCACATAACATAAAATTAATCGTTTTAAAGTGAACAGTTTAGTGGCATATAGTACATTCCCAATATTGACACCAAGCGATTTTTAAATAGTGACATGATCAGAAGTGAGCTTTAGAGATTAACTCGGCAGCAGTGTGTAACAGAGACTGAGAAAGGGAGCAGAAAGAATAATTGGAAAACTAGCACTAGAATCCAGGCAGTAATAGTCTTCACAAGAGTAGCCACAGCAGACATGGAGAAGACAGGTGAGACCTGATGGAGACAGACCGACAGGAGTGGATGGGTGGCCTGGTAGAAAAGGAGGCTGAGCAGGGAGAAAGTTCAGGAATGAAGGTTTTGGATTTGGGAGTTATCTCTGTAGATGTGAGCACTGAAACTTTAAGAATGAGTGAAATTGCCAAGAGAGAAAAGTGAGCAAAGGACAAATACTTGGGGAAAACTTCTCGTTTTAAGAGATGAGAGGAAAAGGAAAAACCAGATAAAATCAGAGTAGTCACAGAAATAGAAGAACTGGGAAAGGTGGTGTGATGAAAGATGAGAGGGGAAGAGATCCAAGAATCTGACCAAATGCTACAGAAAGATGCAAAAGAATTGTGATAACTAAAAGGTCATTGATCATTTAAAAAAAAACTTATGAGAACCTAGTAAAAAGAAGTTGGCCAAAGATCTTGTCATTGAACCAGCGGAAAGAAATGGGGAGTACATTGGTTTGATGGGCTGTCAGACCGCAGAGAGTGTTTTAAGGTGTAGGAGTTTTAAAGGCTGAGGGGAAGGATCAAGGGAAGAGGATGAGATTGAGATTCCAAGACAGGAAATAATTAGTGGAGCAAGTCTTGGAATATTTGGGAGGGTAGAATTAAAGACACAAATTTGAGAAGCTAACTGTGGAAAAGAGGAGAGAGAATTCCTTTTCTGAGATGGCAGGGAGTAGAAAAGCGAGGATTACTATGTGGAGAAATGTTAAAGTGGAGATAAAAGAAGTTGGGAGTGCTGGCGTCTAATGGTCTGTTTCAGTGAAGTATGAGGCTGGGTCACCTTCAGAGGTGAGATTGATAGGATGCCCGGGTCCAGGGGACATGCTTCTGTCACAGCTTGGAAAGGGCATGTGATAAGCCCTTCAAGCATTTAGAACACTGGCATCACTACACTGTATCATTTTTTTTTTTTAAATGTGGTATGTGGGTTAAGGGAGGGAGTGAGAGACACAGAAAGATTCTGAGCATCTTTGGAAAGCTGGATGTATTTGGTAGCATATTTGACCTTTTCCTTATATATCATCTGAAGAGTTTTTGCCAGTGTATATAGTTTTACAAAAATTAGAAATAGGATATAAATATAGCTGAATAGGATAGCCTCTGTATATTTTAAAATTAATGAAGCCTAATAAACAGTTAATGAGCATCTTTACAACCTTCTAAATTTTTCAACCTTTTAAAAATTATAGCAGCCGTGCTTGCGGACAGTCCAAAAACACACCATGGGCCATACTTTGCCTATCCTGATATAAAACAAGTAAATCTTCTGAGAAGTATTTAAGATAAGCCCAGGACAGTTAGTAATATAGGAAAAGATCTGGATAAACATGGTTGAGAATTTCAACATTACAATTTTTAAATTTTTTAAAATTTAATTTCTTCAATAATTATTGAATGAATTTACATTTATTTTGTTAGCCAAGCGGAGTAATTTTAGAATTTTTAAGAGGCTACTATTGGTGGTTTATAAGATGACTTGCCAAGTATATTTGGGATCACCATAAGAAATACCATTATAAAATCTCAGAGGGGAGGTAGGACTTCTGGAATAGCCAAGGAAATGCACTCCTCCGCGACGACAATGAAAATACTTGGAAAATTATCAAAATCATTTTCTTCAAAACTCTGGAAATTAACCAAAGGTTTACAACAATCTAAAGGACATTAATTCAAGAAAAGCTGCTGAACCTCTATAAGAACAGCAATGTTTGTGGTGCTTTAACTTGTCCTATTCCCCACTCTTCTCTCCCCAGCTCCATGCTACTCTTGAAAACAAGCAATCCCCCAACGAAACTGGGGCACAGGCTGCGTTTGCAGCTCCTGTAAAAGCTCCATACCCAGAGCAGTGTCTCCCAGCTCCCGGGTGAAGTCTTACGTATACATGGGGCGCTGGCACAGGTGACTCCAGATTAGTCTCCTAGGCCATCTAGTAGCTCCTAGGTCTGGGCGCTTGCAAAGAGCTTGTGATTCATCAAGGGTTGAGTTGCACAATGAGGCTTTTAGATGTGCTGCTGAGGAAGTGATTGCCTGCATTTAATCGTCTTCTGATGAATGCTAGGGAAACTGATCTAGAGTGGCTCCTCCTGGTTAGAACTAGCTGAAGCATACTGTATATATTTACTTCTTTCAAAAATTTCATATAAAGGAATAGAAAATAATACTGAAAAAAACAAAAAAGGTCACAATTATCCGTAATTCCATCCCTCCTACCAATTACCTGAAGTAAAAAAACTCTCTCAAGTCTCTCCTTTTGCTTGTCAAGCCCCGCTGCGGACCGGTAAGCTCTGTTCAGAATTTACTTTGTGTCCTGGATTTTTCCTATACTCATAGAGACAGGATTAGCTGGCCATCTTGCTTTGTGTGCTATCTTTCTAGACATGTAAAATAATACATTTGAAATACTTGTTTTAACGATATTTTATAATTAAAGCAGCTTTTAATAACTTTCCTTTTTTTCTTTTTTCCAGCTGTCTTTGTGGCAATTTTACACTGATAAGATTTAGTTTCAATTTGAAATATTTAAAAATATTTGAATTAAAAATTGCCATCACTCGTTGCATACTTCTGGCTATATTTGTAGAACATCTTTATGTGCACCAATTTATACGTATATTTTGCTTTTTTACAAACCTCATATGTGAAGCAGCATTTATACAACAGATGCATTAAGGGAATAGTAACTTATGAATTAAAATAATTTTGCTTTATCAAATAATTCACTACATGCTTCTTTAAATATGTAGCTTTTCTAGTGTATTTTGCATGTGTAGTTCATTTAAAACCCTCCTTTATTTTATGGTAATTATATGTTGTTAGTGAAATAACTTTTTTTTTTTGAAACAGTCTTGCTCTGTCTCCCAGGCTGGAGTGTAGTGGCGCGATCTTGACTCACTGCAACCTCTGCCTCCCAGGCTCAAGTGATTCTCATGCCTCAGCCTTCCGAGTAGCTGGGATTACAGGTGTGTGCCACCACACCCAGCCAATTTGTTGTATTTTTAGTGGAGACGAGGTTTCACCATGTTGGCCAGGCTGGTGTCAAACTCCTGGCCTCACCTGCCTCAGCCTCCCAAAGTGTTGGGATTACAGGCATGAGCCACCACACCCAGCCAGTGAAATAACTTTGGTGATAAAGTTTTAGTAACACCTGCCAACTGGAAATCAGGTAAAAAAGAAGATAAAGATTCCGCAGTGGTTATACAGAGTTAAATGGCTTTGAGTCTTTCAGTGTGCAAGCCTGTGTATATTATTTTACAAAAGTGTTTATAAAAATTTGTAAAATAATATTTCCCTCTGGAATATTTTATTTTTACCTGTGCTCAGCGATTTCTACCCTTGGGAGGTATGAGATTTGCCCCTATGTTCTGTTGACACAGTGCTGCTCTAGATATTTAGTCTGCAGGGAGATTTTGATGTTAGAACTGAGGCTGCAATGGTAGGGAATATTCCTGCAGCTTTTGGTACCCTGGCATATGGCCTACATGTAAAGACGGGTTAGTGGAAAACAGGGTTAATATATGGAGCTTTATTTTCAACTTCACTGGAAAGTACTGACTACATAAGTTAGCTATAGCATAATTGTCGACCACAGCTAATTTTGTTTATCACATATGCTCCTTTCTTCACTGCCTACAGCTGTTGAGTTTCACTACTAAAATGTCTTCAAGCACACACCTGTGTTCTCTGGCACTTGAAATTTGATACCTTATGTGATATTATACTTATTGTAAGTCTGCTTTGATCTAAAGCAATTTTATTTAAAATTATATTCTGAACCCTTTTCAACAGTTATGGAGGTATTTCCCAAGGCTGGTACATTAGAATCATTTGAAACTTAAAAAACAAACAATAACCTGCCTCTGTTCTGATTTTCTGATTTAGAGACCTGGGATGGAAGGAAG